AGAGGGTCTGTAACGAGGCCTTCCATCAGTCTACAGAGTCTGAAACCTCCTCCAACAACTCAAGCAACACGTCAACAGAAGCTCCGCTCAGTTCAAATGTTTTCAACCACATCTGGTGCCATAAAGGGAGTCCACTGGATGACAGTCTGTGAGTCTCTCAGTAGACCACTAGAGGGCAAGAAGGAAAGTTCCTGACTGTTCAAATGATGAGTAAGAAACGGACATCCCACCCCAGTTACTGATGATGACTATAAATCAGAACTCTGAGACACCAGGTCAGCATCATACTATCATATATATCTGGGAATTATAATATAGTCCCTTATTATGACTCGGTATAAAATCACTTGTGTGTGTATATGCATCTATGTATATATGTGTACCTTATTGAAGTGGACGTGTCGAGGATGGTTGTGCACATCCCACAGATGACAGTCTTCAGTGCACACAGGTCACCAAACAGGCCGTTCAGCAGTCTGCTTCCAACGTCTACAAGTCTGTGTGCCAGAGTGGATCTTATTTATGTGTACTTACAGCCTCTGTCTCACAGTTCTGACCTACCCGTCACTCAGCCCCCTCAGGAGACAGAAATCACCACGTCTATGTCCTAATGAGGGAAATGCATATCTGTGCCATAATCACATGATGCTTTTGACTCAGTGACCCATGTACTGGCAGTCATTGTCCTTTTTTCTTTATTTAGCCATGCAAGTCACAAAGTAAATCCTCAGGTGAGTAGAAACAGGTGATTTCTTCGCAGCCTGTTACCCAGCAGCTGAGGGAACCCCTTACAGCTGCCAGATGGAACCAGAACAACCCAAAGTCTCAGTCCACATCAACGGGCCTCATGGAAGATCATCTCAAACACAGACTGATGTGGAACACACCAGTGATGGCAGCAGATCTGCTGCACGCCTCCTCTCAGGTAGCAGCTTTCTATCAGAGAATGTGTGACTGTTCAGGATCCGACACCCGGTTGTGTTCAGACAGTGTGAATGGATCTGGAGTCACACCACAGCCTGCCAGAGCACTGAGCGGCGCTGGGACTGACACAAACTCTAGAAAATTGTAAAAACGTGCCAAACCAGTGTTCTTGCATGAGGCCCGTGGTGTTTGGTTCTGAGCTGGTGCTGCTTGCTGAGTGAGTGCATCAGTGAGACGGCGGTGGAGACGAAATACGCTACAGGAAGCTACCTCTGGAAACGACCACGTCATCATCTGGGTCATCACTGCAGCACAAGAGTCCAAAAGTGAACCAAAAGCACAAGTTGCTCCACTGGAGCAGTCCTTCTGTTGTTCAGCTAAATGACACACTCTGAACACACCGGAGACATGTCGCCGCTTTACAAACACAAGCAGGAAGGAGCCGTGAGCTGGAACATGTGGACTGAGCTGTGCTGAGGACCGGGCCTACTGGGCTGTGCTCGTTCACACGGGTCAGGATACAGCTTGTTAAGTCTGGACTTATTCTAATGAAACCTCTGAGGACAGTAATGTTCACGTTCAGAGAGGACTGGTGGTTTCAGAGAGGAGAGAAGGAAGCCATCTCTAAACAGAGGAGGCTCTGCACCACCACCTCCCAGCACCTTCAACACAGTTATTAGGAGGTCTCTCCCCACAACGCTTCACCATCATGAACATCTTGAGTCACTGCTGACAGGCAGATTCACATCCTTTGTTGTGCAAACTGGCATCTCTACCACCAGGACTGCTGCTGTTGTTGGACCACCTGGTCTCACAGACGTTCACATCTCAGTCAGGTAGAACTGAAGAAGCTTCCTGGATGAGAGGTGAGACGTCTTCAGTGTTAACAGAAGAGTCCAGCTGCTACTGAAGCTGCCAGGATGACGTGGATGAATCTACACAGACAGTCGTCTAACGGGACAGATGTCATAAACAGTTGTTCGGTCTAAGGGCTGAGATGGTCACGCTTCACCAGTACTGGTCCAGTACCACAGCAGTGTCCTCTCCTCTGACTCGCTCATGTTGGTGAGACAATGTTGAACGTACAAACTGATGAATCTACTGACTGTGAAGCTGGAGGAACAGTCCATGTGTTTGGATGCATCGACAGCCTAACTGGTCCAGCTGTGTTGTTTAACTGGTGTAAAATCATGGAGGGCACAGGACTGCCTTCTCCTTTACTGCCTGCAGCGCTGCTCAGTGCTGCCACTGGTGGACAGAACTGGTGCTGCAGCCACACGTCTAATAAATCTAACACTTGTATATTTTTCTACTTTAATCGTTGTCCCTTCTACGTCTTTTTGGTGAGGATCTGTGACAAGAACAGGTTAATGTTCTGGACTGGGCACCAACGCAGTGGTTCTGGTCCTGGTTAGATCTGAGATCGTATACGAGCACAGAACGATGACTGTCACATGAACAGCTGTAAAAACATGAGTCTGTCCTCAGCAGTGGAGTCTGAACTTGTGCTGGTCCACATACTGGGAGCTGTACAGAACCTGTGAACGAGGCTGTGTGAAGCCTGTTGTTCCTCTGGAGGAGTTTGGTCGCGTGTGACCCAATAACCCTGATGATGACACAGAGGTGACATCAGGAGCGAACAGGAAGCCTGCCGTTCAGATGTGAGTGTGGACAGGACGGCTCAGTGGAGTCATGACAAGCAGAGCATCCAGTGGTTTGGGACCAACTCACACCAGCGTCTAACAGTCCAGATGTGTTGGCCTCTGAAGGAGCAACACTAAGTAGCTGCAGCAGCTCTGAACCAGAACGTTTAAACCCAGATACACAGTGTGTGTGTGTGGGAGAGGAGGCCGGAGGCAGCGCCATGGCGACGGCTCTATCCTCTTTCATCCTACTGCAGGAAGGATGGACGTCCTGCTGAGACAGTCAGGTGACACTGAGCAGACCAGACCAAAGACAAAGACCCCACGTGTCCCTCGCTCTCACACAAACACTTCCAGGCTCTTTAAGGAGCAGAAGTTCACATGCTGACCATCACACTGACATCCAGCATCAAGCAGAGGTGGTGGTACGTTCACTGTAGCAGCAGCAGCTGCTCAACAACAAACCATCTGCACAAAAATATGAAAAGGCTGCTGAAGAAAGTGTATAAATAACACAAGGTTAATAAATAGTTCATTAATGTAGTAGCTTTAAACTAGACAGTGATTTTCTTTCTGACTGCTTTGCTTCAGAAAAAACAGAAAAGACGGAATCATACTTCTCAATTAAGGTTTCATTTACCACATCTGTTACCATGACAACTCCACTGTCCTCCTGGACTGTTTGAACTGAATTCCTCGTTTTACCTTTCATACGTTTCAAATGTTTGTTGCAGCAACTGAAAAAAAACAAAGAAAGAACATCCAAAGACCAATCTGAAGGAGAAAAATGTTAAAACGTTGAATGCATGTGACGGACGGGTTCAGAACGATGGAGTGATGTTTCCTACAGCTGCTCCTGGCGCTGATCCGTCCTGCAGACTGACAGATGAGGGACCCGGGTCACTGCTGCAGCTTCTAACAGCACCAGCACTCAGTCAGCTGCAGAAGCACCGCCCACGTCTCTCCGTCCTCACCAGGGCATTTAAACGTGACTGAATGACACCTACGTGGTGAACTTCATGTATTTAACCTAAACAGCAGCTCTGTGTTTTCATGCAGCAGCACCAAGAAGGGACGGTGGTGGACGACCTGGCCCCGTGGTTCCAGTGTATCTGCTGATCGTTGGTGGGACGTCAGCATGCCAGCACCATCAGTGGTGTTCCTGTTCTCCCAGTTTGTTCAAGGCTGCGCTGCTGAGCTGGTAGTACAGAACACTGCAGGAGTGATTCACCTCAGTGACTGCATTCTCTTTACATTTACCATTAAAGTACTTCATCTCAGAACCAATTAACTGTCAATAGTTTCAAAAGGCTACAGTGAAAATACAGGCCATAAAAAAAGAAGACATACATGACCACAGAGTGTATTAGTGAGCTCCAATCAGCATGAACACGGTTAGAAGATGACTTGTGCTGCCTGACTGTCTGCAGCCATCCAAAGCACACTGCCAGAACAGAGCAGTGCATTAAAATACAAGTGGACATAGAACATACTGGAAACATGTGAATCAGAATCTCATAATGAAAGTTGTGCTGATTGGTGCACTGGGTTCTACTGCAGGGCCTTTATGTGTAATACAGCACAGCTGGACTGTTAGCTTCTAATTGAAATAAGAGCAAACTCCCTCCTGTTTAACTCAGAGGGAGGTCACTGCTCTGAACATGTGGGTGATGCTGCACAGCTGTGTGTTCATTCAGTCACTCTGTGAAGGACTAATGTGCAGCTCTGGGTCGCACTCATCACATCAGTGACGCTTCCTTTAAGAAGTGGCTGTCTGTTGGCATATGACAGTGAAACACCGCAATAGATGGTAGCAGGAAGGTGGGAACACAGGAACATCCTGTTCACCTCCATCAGCAGCATGCGGGACACCTGACTAAAGACCAGCATGTGACACTGGAACCAGAGAGACCGTCCACCTGAAACTAAGCCTCCGGCGCTGCTCACAGGAGGACGAGCATCCTGAGCTGCAGCAGCTCGTCGTGTCGTTGCATAACTGGACTACACATCTGTGATAAAAAATGGATCAAGAACTCATCATTAAGTAAAGAGCCCACGTTGCAGTAAAATGCTGGATAGAAGCGACGCTCATACACAATCCTGCAAACGTCTTTTTATAATGACGCACGTTACTGTTTGGAGGAGACTATTTCCTGATCAGCGTTAGAACGGCGGCTACAGTACCCAGCATTGTAGTGCACAGTGAGCGTCCATGTTTGATTCTACAGTTATAGGTGGAGGTGAAGGAGACGTGACATGTGACCACCGACCAGGTCCGTCCTCGAGTGTCTTCAGCTGACCGAGGCTCCCACAGTCACTGTGTACATGGATCCACAACAACCAGGAGGAAATGAAGCTGTGTGTGAGTGTGTGTGTGTGTGTGTGTGTGTGTGTATCTTCTGGTCTTTTCCATGAACAGGAATTGTATTTTTCCGATTCCTACATCCACAAACAGTAATCATTTAGTAGTGAACAGTTGGCAGGTGTTCCTCGTCTTCACCTGGACGTCCTGTACCTTCAGCCTGAGGGCCACGTTCCCTCGTCAAGGTTCATCTCCCTAGCTCCTTGCCGATGTTACTTCTTGTCGCTGTTTTGAAATATTTGTTCGTAGGATGGCGGCGGGTGGTTGCAGTACGATGGAGGAGGCGGGTAGGAGCTCATCATCATGTGGGCCGAGCCGGGCTGTGCTGGGTAAGCCGGGTGCGTCATGGGAAGCCCTGGGTCACCTCCTGTCATCCCATTGACCCCGAAGCCCTGCATGCTCCCCGGCTGCTGGGACACTACACAGCAAAGAGACACAGTCAGGAATCGGATCTACAGCATTCACATGAAAACCTGATTTCACTCAGAGCCACTTCACAACATAAACAGAGTTTCATCGACCTCCCGCAGAGTTCTGATGTCTTCATCCAGTGGAGCTGAAACTTCACTGGACATCGAGGACAGCAGCTCCGTGACTCTGACTGACTGTGGCGCTCAGAGACAGAAACAGGAAGGCTTTGCCGTGTCAGTTTGTCCCCTCAGACTGACAGGTGGATGGAAACACTGACCACACACTGTCATCCCTCATACGCCCACATAGTTCATCATCTCATCCAACAGCATACGGCACATTCCAAGACCTCCTGAAACAATTCTATCAAGAACTGAGTTCTGAGAATTGAGGACGACACTGTTTCCAAGGCGCCTTTAAGAGCGGATCCTGTTTGACTTGGTGACACCAGTGATTAAATGGTCACAGTCAGGGCTCTGCCTCGTGTCTGTTTTACTGCATAAATGACATTTAACTGAAGCGAGTCTACAGAGTGTCCCGTGTAACGCCGTCTGTGGGCAGCGAACACACTTCATGTCTCACCTTGGAATCCATTCAGCTGCTGCTCTCATTAAATCTCACTTTAATGCCTCGTTCTCTCGGCTTCATTGTTGAAAGTACCCCAAAAAATGAACACTTACACATAGTGGGTTCCTGCCACAGCAAATAATTATTGGTTTAATGATCATTTAATCTGACAAGAGGTACACACATCAAACTATCTGTACAGTGCCACAGAATTACTACAGATCATCTCCTCAAATGTCTTTGTTTTGTCACCAAATATCTTCAGTTTACGATGACAGAAAACAGATGCTCATCTTAGAACTGGAGGAAATGTGAAAAACGGTTCTAACACCGTTATTACAAAATAATCAGAACACTTGCTATTTAATCAGTGACCAATCAGTTAATCAGCTATGTGGCCGACCTGCTGGTGCTGTGACGTCAGTGATGCTGGACTTTTTGGAGAAGGAGGTAAAACAAAATCTGGCAAAAAGAAAAATAAAAGCACAACAAATTGGGACCAACGTACAGTCAGTATCCTGACAGGGAGACAGTTTGGTACGCCACCACAGAGGACTGAAAATGAAGCAATCAAGATATGATTGAAGTAAAAAAATAATTTGCAAGGTTCAGCAAGAATACTGCATGAACAGTTCAAGAGTTACAGCCATGGTGGTAAACAGCCTCTCCATTTTCACAGGCTCTGAGGTAACAGGACCATTCATTCATCAGTAGATTGATGGCCAGGTGTGGCCTGCTTCCTCCTTATTTCATTACAAATGAAGGACATTTAACGTCTCCAGCTGACTCCAAGTGCAGACTTTGCATTTATTAGCTGTTCATGGGAATGCGGCCCAACACGGACCTACCAGAGGGACAGCAGAGACCGTAGGAGTGGCCGAGGCCACTATCTGACGTGTTCTTCTAAAAGATGGTGAGCTCAACAACAGCTAAAGGCTGGAAACCACAGAAGAACTAGAGTTGATGCTACCAGAGTTGTGTTGTTGGTGAAGATAAACACCTTCACAGCTTCTGCTCCAGCAGGTCAGTGCGTCACTCGGTCTACAGACAGGAGACGCTGTCATGGATGCACATACAGGTGGTTTACCTCCAGGTTCATACCAGCCTTAACACTCACCAAGAGAAAGGTTAGATTAGAAAAAAAGAAGAGCTCCATTTATTTGGTGTCTTCTCCCATCCCACAAGGACAACACATCCTTCTCCTGAGTAGTGAAATGACCAATGTATTCAATCAAAATGACAGCTTTTCTTTGACACTACAGTACGTTCCTCTGTAGCATCTTGTTTGATATGTGATCGGAGAAGTACTTCACTTTTGAAGAGGACCTTACTTTGACCCGGGACGACGGAGCAGCGTGGCTTCAGCCCAGAGCGTTGGTGTCTGCTGGACACCAGAACTGTCAGTAACAGCTGGAGGATACGGCACACATGTCAGACACGCCTTGCTCTGCTCTTGCATTGTAAAAACCTGCTGGAATCGTCCTTTTTGCTTCATATTCTAACCCATCTAGCTACCACTCAGGTCTGGGACCCCGGGTTTAGTTTTGACCAACTTGTCAAACTGCCCACTCACCTGGACTGTGGTCTGGGTCCGGTGAGACCACCACCGTATCAGTCTGAAGGCAGTCCTCCAACCCAAACTACGCCACGGTGTCTCTCAAAGCACATGGAGGCAGTGTTGTGGATTAGACATGTGGACCTGGACCACTGTGCTAGCTGATGATGTTACTGCTGATAGAAGGATGAAGGAGCTGTGCTGTGGGCTCATGTCCACTAACATGCTGCAAATCTGACAGAGTGGTGCTTCAGCGTTCAGATGGATGACGACCAGGGACACTGTGAAAGCCGTCGTTCATGTCCACAGCTTGTAAAGGCAAAGACACGATGCTGCTGGATGGTCAGTCAGTCAGCTGATAGAACTGAGGACCCACAAACAGGCAGCAGCTGAAGGCGGCGACAGTAACGGCTGGAAGAACTTCTCAGTGGAACAAACTCAGCATCTGGTGAATTACAGAGTCCAATGCTTTGGGCAGCAAAGAATGTATAATCCTAATAATTATAATCACATTGTGTTAGTTTGTCTGATCACTTCTGAGCCTGTAAAAATCGAGGGACCACGTTAAAACCTGGTTGTAATTCCTAAATGGTTAATGCAGTCGTTGTTATTAAAGCCCTTTAATTAAAGTGGAAAGTCTCCACATAATCACAGGTTGATGGTTTCACTTCACGTCTGATGTGGTGCTGCACCGAGGCTAAACTGCACAGACGGAACCAGGTCCTGTGGACTCGTCTGTATGGACAAAGAAGGACAGTTTAGTGTAAACGTGTCCGAGCTCTCTGGCTCCAGCTCGTACACCACGCTCTCCATGTGCACAGACACTTTCTGCAGAAGGATGATGTTTGTCTGTCTGTCTTCAGCCTCCTGCTGCTGCAGCATCAAGAAAGGAAAGAGGCAGCCCGGCCAATGACACCACCTCCTCCATGGTTCGGGTCAGTGGAACTTTCCTCTCACTTGGTTTTCCATCACTTTGGTAGAATCTGACCAGAACAGAAAGCTTTATGGTTTGTTTCTATAATGTTCAGCAGGTTGCGGTCCAACCCTGGTGGTGCTGAAGACAGGTTTGTATCCTACAGCAGTGAATACGAGTCAGTCAGCTGCTAAATTACTTCTGCACAGCTGAAAGGATGAATCTATATCTATGTTATTCTAAATAGAGTGAGATAAAGGCTGCAGCCAGCTCAGCGCCGGGCTTTAATCTCAATAAACTGCACTCCAGTGGAAACACAGGGCTTTGGATGTAGTCACTGACACAATCATTTACCTTCTTCCTTCATTTTCTTTCTGTCTGTTCTTCCACGAGCACGGTTACATCAGATTCCTTATTTAACTCTTCTGGAATGAAATGTTTGGCCACAACTAAAAGCTCAGAGCGAGCAGCGTGTCAAGAATCATCAGAACCAGCAGCCTGTGATGCCGACTTTACTTTGGAGTTCATCAAAGACAGAAACTAGAAATAACTTCCTCCTCTGGGTCACCTTTCCAGATCCAGTCTGCCTGCAGAACACAGTTTTACTCTGTGGTTATTATTGGAGCGCTCCAGTCAATTTTCTGCTTGGCTGACTGACACACAGTCAAACTCCTGCATGTAATATTAAGACAGAGAGTTCATCAGCTGCCCTACTTCCCTCCAAAAGCTCAGGTTTAAAATGAAGGATCCTTGAAGGCCACAGTGTCGATCACAGCGAACAGGAGTTTGTCTAAAAGAGCAGAAAACCACCAAAGCAGTGCTGGAGACCAGAGGATCCTGTGTGAACACCAACCAGGACAGACACTGGTTCTGCCAGCTGGTTCTGTTTGGACCACTAAGCCAGCTTTGTCAGCGTTGTGAGTTTTGAGCAGCACAAAGCTCGCACAACCGTGTTCGTTACCATGTTGGAAATATTTAAAAAACACAACCTATCTTAACTTTTACAGACCCACTGTGACCTCATCATGTCTGGATTACAACAACATCCACTTTACCTGACTGATCCAGAACTCTACTGATCAGCCTCAGACTGTACAGAACCTTAAGCAGAACCAGGAGCCATGATTTCATCATTTACACTGAACCCTTGTGACCATGAGGCCTTCATGGCGTCTCTACTGGCTGCATCTCGGACCTCTGAGCACTTCCAGGTCTGTTGTCTGTTCTCCTCCTGAAACAAACTTTTATCTGACAGTCTTTGCTGATTTTACTTTAAATGTCTTTGAGCTCTCTTCTGTACCTGTTGATGATGGAGGTCTACACCACCGCTGCACACCTGTTCCACAAACTGCAGCAACAGCGGTAACATTAAAGCTGGGGCAGGTGAAAATTGGGAAGACAATTAATAAAAAACACCTCTTCCTCTTGTTCCCTCTCTGTCCTAAGCCCCCACAAACACAGGAACGTGGATGCACTGAAGCCAGTGAACACCTGCCCATCCCAGTTTCCTGCCTCAGTCTGAACGCCATCTTAGACATGTTGTGTGAACGCTGCAGCTCTGTGGAGTGAGCACCGTCTAATCAGGACACGCTACTACTTCAGTTCATTGCACAATTAGTTTTAATTATCAACGTCATTATCAGAACTCTGACAGAAGTGCTGTACCTTGGTCCTGTACAGTGAATAAGGTGAACATGGGTTGGCCGGTGCTGGTCGCTGCTGCTCTGCCTCCATGAGTAGATGCAGGCCCTGAGCCTGTCAGGTAAATATCTACACCTGCTATTCTGGCTCAGTTTGTGACAAATCATTTCTTTAAAAGCACCCCCAACACTCGTATGTTACGTCTAACATATGACAGATGCCACATGGGCTAGTTAGGATGGTCCAGCCCTCCCAAACCAAAGTCCTCCAGCAGCTTCCATCTCTGTCCTTATTGCCACTGTTGATGACTCTGTCAGACATTTTCTTAGTTATTCTATCAGCTGTTTGGCTTATGTAATGTCAGCAAATGGTAAACAATGTTGATCAGTTTCCCAAAGCCCAAGATGATGCCCTCAAATGTGTCATTTGTTCACAACCCAAAACCATTCTGTCAGAGGAGACAAGAAACCAGAACACATGAATACTAATCAGAGACTTGCTTCCTAAATGAATAATGACTTCAAGGTTTGACTTGATTAACTGCTGCAGCTCTGGTGCATATTGTGAATATTCCACCCTGCTGAGTGTCTTTTAGCTGGCGTATGCCCCCGTTTCATCTCACTGTCGTACCTGGGGTGGTGACTGGATGCCTGGTGAAGGACACGTTGAAGGCGGGCTCGTCTCTCAGAGGGGACGGGTACATCCTTCTGCGAATGAAGAAGCCGGCACCGCAGCAGAACAACACTCCCATCATCAGCAGAACCCTGAGGGAAAACCAACAGCTCATCAGTGCTGAGGGCTCCAGACTGGTAGGAAGGCAGGCAGCAGGGATCCACCGACACAGGAAGCTGCTACAGATGTGCCACCATGACCAGTCAACACAAAGTCCCGTCATGCAGCAGCAAGAGAGGACTACTATCTGCTCAGAGTTTGTTTCCCTCTATTGTGAAGCCAGCATTGCACAAAAACATTCAGTTCAATAACATCAGCGCTCCCTGTGGAGACGTGCTGACACCAAGCAGATCCTTCTGGCTTTAGAGATGTGCTCAGTGTGATGCTCTGTGACGAACTGCAATCTGCTCACATATGTCTGATGACCATAAAGTTCCCACTGAGCTGTGTGACATTTGAGGGATTCAGTGTAAAACCATTAACATCAGTAAGATGTTCGGAGATGCTTTCCTGTGCTGACCTGCTAGCAGAACCGACCCGTTTCATGGGCGCTGACGTCTCTTCATCGTGGTGACTCATTCTCGCTCAGTAGAAGTCAGAAAATACAAACAACTTAAACAAGTTTTTAAAAGTTATACTTCAGACAAAGTGGTTCTCTAACATATTTTGGCCCTGCTGATGCTAAAAACATGCATGTGTCATTTCCTCTTTAAAGCATGTGATAGAGTGGTCATGCTTTGAAAAGGCTTCCCAACATCACATCTGATGACAGCTGCTGGAAATGTTAAATGTCAGTTTGTAAAAATTCAAAAAGGTGTCCCACAAGGCTCAGTGTTGAGGCCTGCTCTGTTCACTCTGTACCTGAGTGTCACATACATCTCTATGCTGATGACACTGTCCTGTCCTGTAGTGTTCATCCTGCTGGTAAAGCCCTTCAGCGCTGCGTTGATCAGTTCCCCTCTAACCTGCATTTAGTTTCTAAGGCAGATAAACTAAATGCAGGTTTTAATCAGAGCCAACATATAGTGGTTATGACAGTCTTGACATCTTTACGAGCGGCACAAAGAGTCGCAGAGTAAGAACATCTGGATCGGAACTGACAAGAAGCTGACATTTAAACACCATGTGACCAAACTAGTAACTAAACTACAACAAAATGGGTTTCTTTCACAGGAATAAATGATGTTTCCACAGCTGGTTAAGGCATCAGTCAACATAATGGGACACTGTGTATTACTTTGGTTCTTTTCAAAAGTTTTTACTGAGCTTAGAAACCCAGTTCTACACAGAATGCTGCTGCAACCTGGAATAACAGAACCATCTAAGGCAGGGCTCTTTATCCTTTAGGGCAACTGTTCATTTCAGCCTATGTTATCTGTGTTCTTTCTAAGAGTCATTTGATTTTAAACTCCAAATGCTGTAATTATTATCATTTCTGTTCTCTTGACCCTTTCAAACAGGGGCTCTGAGGTTCACTCTTACATGGTGTGATCCTGGTCTAGACAGTGTGACAGCATGAGAGAGACATCCTGCAGCGGTAAACCCAGACCAGACTGGAACTCACCAGAAGTACCATAGTTTCTGGATGGACAGGGCTCGGACACAGCAGCGAGTCCCACAGCAGTCCTCATAGGAGCGACATCTGCAACACAGAGGCACACAGCAAGGCATGGGTCAGCAGGAACACAAACAACGGTACCGATGAGCCACAACGGAGCAGGGAGCGCTCTACAGGTCTACAGGTCTACGGGTCTTTGGGTCTATGGGTCTACAGCTCTGCGGGTCTACGGGTCTACGGGTCTATGGGTATACAGGTCTACGGGTCTACAGTTCTACAGGTCTACGGGTCTACAGGTCTACAGGTCTACGGGTCTATGGGTCTATGGGTCTACGGGTCTGCAGGTCTACAGCTCTACAGGTCTACGGGTCTATGGGTCTATGGGTCTATGGGTCTACGGGTCTACGGGTCTACGGGTCTACGGGTCTATGGGTATACAGGTCTACGGGTCTACAGTTCTACAGGTCTACGGGTCTACAGGTCTACAGGTCTATGGGTCTATGGGTCTA